AAGAAAACCATTTACATTGAAAATCATAGGTAGAAAATTACTCCATTGAGCAACATCCATCTTCGCCGCAACCTCGTAGTTTTTTGGCAGTAAAATCTCTAAAACCAAACTTCTGTCGGCCTTCAGAAGTGAGATTGAGCTGACGCGTTCATGCACCCCCACTTTTCATTTTGGAAAGCTAGGTACGTGTAAAGGTTTATCCCTTTACAAACGTTGAATGCAGAAAAGTATAGATGATAAATGAAATATCGCTTTGAATAGCAATTATTAAAAAACATAAATCAAGTGAATACAATGTAAAATAAAAAAGTCAGGAACTATTAGAAAGATAGAAGATTAAGTATAAAACTTAATCATCACTCTGAAGAGAGTACCAAAGGGGAGAGAGGAATGATTCATCAATTTTCTTCCATGTCTTTGTTGCCAATTAATGCTCCCTTTTATAGAAGGATAAGAGAATATTTCTTGTTAACTTTATTCTCTTAATTGCTGGATCAAGTGACATGTGTCTATTTTCTCTATCCATTTTAGTGATTCACTTTGATGTCATGGTTATTTCAATTTGGATCATAACATTACTACCCCTATTAAAAAATCAACCTTGTCCTCAAGGTTGAAATTATAACAATGCATATAAGTGATAAAAGCATCCTTTCAAGTGACTTCCATGTTAGGTGGATCTTCATAATGAAAATAAAATAACAATCTGAATCCCATTTAACAAATGAGGCATTAAACAATTTATAAAACTTTGGTGCAATTGGTTGTGGTTTAGTCCAAACAATTATTGCACATGTTACAAATGTATTGAGTCTTTCGTTGTTTATGACATTGGGTTATAAGGTTTGAATTACAGCCACACATCTTGCATCTAATATATATCCTAAATTAAAAAAGCATGTGTCTTTGTAATTCAGTCCATTGATAGGTCTCTCATATAACTTTTCAAAGAAAATAGGTGTGAAAGAGAAGACATCATGTGTTGCATGGGCATGAGTTAAGAAATTATCATTCCTATTGGCAGCCAAGGAACAAGGGAGATCCTTACTAAATAGCTTATCATTAGAAACAAACGTTATCATTTTAATTGAAGTGATGTCAAGTACAAGAAGTTTGGCTCTTAAACCCAAGACAGTGACCTTCCCCCACCCTTTTCCTTCTTGGGAACTACACACAATTCTTGGAATGTGATTTTACCAACAAAGAAGTTAATATGCATTACTTTTATGGAATTCTTAGGAGTAACTGAATGCATAACATTTCCCTCAAACCAAATATGGCAAATAATTTTGTATAGGATAAGGGTGATGCACCCAAGTGTTCAATTGGATAGATTTTGTGTACTTTGAACTGAACCCGCTGTCATACCTCAAATTTGTTCGTCTTATTTTTTACAATCAAATGATTTTCAAAATTGGTTTTTTATAATTTTTTTGGTTTATTTACAATAATATTTTGGGTTTTATATTTATTTTTAATTTATTTTGCCTATTTAAAAATATATAATAGTTTATTTTAAATTATTTGTATTTCTTAATTTCAAAGCCTTATTGTCCATAAACGAATAAAGTTGAAGTCAGCAGAGACGTCACTGTAAAAGAATCAGAAGTATGGGATTGGAGCAAGTCTGAATCTATTTCTTGCCAGAACTTGACAGTTCTGAAGAAGAGTCAGTGTCAAATGATGATTTTGGAAACTCTGAAGATGATTCAGATGGTGAATCTAATTCTGATCCAGATTTTGATGATGATCCAGAATTTGGTGGTCATGCTTTTGGAAGGGAAAACTCTAAAGACGTAGGTTCTGGAGGACAAGCTTCTGAAGATTATCATGTTTCTGGTGAAGGTTATGATTCTGAAGGAGGAACTTCAGAAGATAGAGGTTCTGAAACGGATCCAACTTCTGAAGGTGGTCAAGTATCTGATACTTTTCTAGAATTAGAAAGAGTTTCTAAACGAGTTCAGAGGCCAAAAAGAATCATACAAATACCAAGGAGGTTTGCAATGTTTGACATGTTACAAGATAATGAAGTAGACCAAGAAGGAGAAATTGTTTACTGTGCCATGTTAGTAGACTCTGAACCTGTAAGTATTGATGAAGCTCTTAAGAAGAAAGTATGGTTGAATGCCATGAAAGAAGACTTGGAGGGATCAACTATAGTGGTGGCATTTGAGGCGCTGTGTAGGCCTTTGTCATGTATGAAGTAGGGTCGCTTTCTATCCTTTGTAAGGCTCGTAGGATTAAGCTCAATTGAGTCTCTAATGTTATACTTCTCCTTCACCAATCTAGGATTCCTTCACAACTTTATTGAAGCATGCTTGGAATTTGTTCTTTGAACATCGGGAAATTTGCTAGCTGGATTGATATCGACCAAAGGAGAAGGTTGAAATACATGAAATATAAATGTATGAATGTACGGAAATACATGGGTATGCAAAAAATATATTTTGGCTTTTGAGGGTATGCGAAAATATTTTTATGGAGATGCAATGCAGTGCGAGGTTAGAATGAAGATGGGCCTAAGGACACCCTACACCGGTTTTAGGGATATACATACATAATGTGAAACCCCTAAAAGCTAGGGATTATGATTTACAAAAGATAACCCCTACATGCTAGGGATTATGATAAGCCAATGGACAATTGAGATGATGATTTGACTTGAGGGAATAGCATGGAAAAGAGCACATGGTGACCGATCAATAGTCATCAAATCCTATGGCCTGATATAGGCCACATGGCATGCATCAACAAAGACGTCCTAAAGATAATGGCAGACAAAAAAAGGGAATCCCTACAGGCTAGGGATCACGAAACACAAAAAGGAATCCCTACAGACTAGGGGTTATGATATAGAAAGGGAAACTCTTATAGGATAAAGATAGTAATGGACAAAAAGGTAACCCTTGGGGTTTAGGGATTGTAGTGAGATTTTATGAAAGATATCCTTAGTTGGTAGGTTCCTAGTTCCAGCTTACATATATTCTATCCTCTAATAAGGTGGTTTCCTTAAGGGTATAATGGATAACACTAGAGTGAAAGGCATAAGAGCCTCCCTTAAGTGATCCTCTTTGTAGACCGAAAATATCGTCTGTAGACCATGAAAGGTCTCACCATGAGATTTTGGTTTAAGGGATATACAAAGAATCATATGTTTCATTCCAAAGTGCTACCCCCCAAGAGGATGTATCTTGAGATATGTTCCTTTTTCGGAATTCCACCGACTCTAGGCGAAGTCGTCACATAAACTCATATGGATGATGTATCCCCTTAGTTAATAGATGAATATTTTTTCTAAGGGTTTTTGAAAAATATTTTTTTTAAAATAAAAATCCCATCATCAAATGAATATAATATGATAAAAATAAATAAATCAAAATAATAAATGAAAGAAAATAAATAAATAAAAGCAAAAACTGAAACATTAAAGATCCAAACAAAAACCATAAACCTAAGAGGAAGGCTTTTAAACCCTAGGGTTGGTCCCCAGCAGAGTCGCCAGCTTTAATAACCGGTTTTAAAATGAGAAGAGTCTCCACCATCAATTTTTATCCTAAGACGGAAATATAACGGGATAACCATAATTGTTGATATAGAGATTCGAAGTTCTTGACTCACTTTAGACTAAGGGAAGGTTTTAGACACTCTTCATCTACCTTATTCACAAGGATACTTGGGTTTAGGTTTAAGGTTTAGGAATAGGGTCCTAATTTTTTAATTAGGAGATCTCGTCGCGATTTTTAAGTCGTGTATGCCTATGTATCCTCTTATGAGGAATCAGAGTCTCGGTTCGTAGTTTGTAGTGTTTGGTTAGTTTTTTTTATGGATTGTGGAAATATTTTAAATTAATCATTGAACCAAGTCTGGGTTGAAAATAGCGAAATCGTAGACGTAGTTCGTAGTTAATGAAAAAGATCTCCACAATCCTTTTTTGAAAATATCTTGAATTTAATTATGTTAGTAGAAAAAAGGTTAGTATTTGATGGGTTAGTTATCTTTGATGTGTTATGCAATTAAGCAAAAATAAGTTTAAATGAGAAAAAAGATTCAATGAAAATTAGAAAAATAGGGTAAGTATTTTAAGAAAATATTTTAATTAATAAGTAACTATTTCCTAATTATTAAAAATATATTAAATTTTTTTTAATAAAAATATAATAATTATTTATTAATAATTATGCAAAGAAATATGTTTAATGCAAAATGCTAAAGATATTATGTGAATTCAATAGATAAAGAAAATAAATAAATAAAACAAAATAATTAGAATTAATTAATTAAGTTTAAGAGGTATACAAATTAGAGTTGGGTGGTGTATATAAAAAGAAATTTGGGCCTAAAGTAATTTTGAACCCAAAAAGGCTAGGGGGTGCATTTTCATATTAGACAGTAATTCCAAGGGGTGTAACAAATAAGGGCCCAAGTTCAAAAATTAAACTTGACCCAAATGCGTGAAGAGGGTATGGATTAAAAGAAGAGGGTCCAAACTCATCATTTATCATAATTCTAATAAATAATTAAATTAGTAATAATAACTAATTGGTAAAATAAATAAATAAATAAAAAGCAACAACAGAAAGATAGGGGAGACGTACCGCCATCTCCTTCTAAGTAGCAACACAATTTGATTTACAAAGGCCACCAATTATAATAACAACCAATATTATAATACCAACACATATTATAATAATAACATATATTATAAAAACATAAACAACTTATATTAGAAAAACAACCAAACATAGCTTCTCTTTGTCTCTCTCACGTTCACAATATTTCTCATTCTACCTTCTTTCTCCATCAAAATTTGAATCAAACCCAAAACAATAGCTCTATCATTAAAGCAAAAAAAGAAAAGAAAAAAGAGGTGACACCTGACGGAAAGCATTTGGAGAGAGAGATTGATAGTGTTAGAAAACTCGTCCTCCAATTGTGAGAAAATTTTTAGGTGTTCTGTTCAGAATCCTAAAATAATTATTGATAAGATTGTTGATCTCCAAATGATTATTGAGGGATACTTCAGGGTTTCTTTGTTGTTGTTCTTCGATGTGAAGAGTAACAACTTTTACGAGAACTCTAATGAGTTGTTATCTACAAATGATTATTGATTCTTCAAATGGTTGTTGATCCTCCAAATGATTGTTGATAGAAAAATTTTAGGTGTTATGTTCAAAACTCTAAAATTAATCAAGAGAGTTGCGTAGAAAGAATGTTTGTGAGAGAGAGATAGAAAATTATTGATATAATTATCGATGAAAAATTATAGTGAAGAGAGCCTTATAAGTCTCCTCCTCCTCCTCCACTTTCACCTCCTCAACCATACGTCTATTAATCTCCACCTCCACCATCACCTTCACCTCCTCCTCCATATGTCTACAAGTCACCACCTCCATCATCCCCTTCACCACCTCCTCCATATGTTTATAAGTCTCCACCACCACCTTCCCCTTCTCCTCCTCCACCATACTATTATAAGTCCCCTCCCCCTCCTTCTCCTTCACCTCCCCCTCCATATGTGTACAAATCTACCCCTCCACCATCCCCTTCACCCCCACCTCCATATGTTTACAAATCTCCACCTCCGCCATCTCCTTCACCCCCTCCTCCCTATGTCTATAAGTCACGACCACCTCCTTCACCTTCACCACCCCCTCCATACTACTACAAATCTCCACCTCCACCTTCTCCATCGCCTCCTCCACCATATGTCTACAAGTCACCGCCACCTCCTTCACCTTCACCACCACCTCCTTATGTTTACAAGTCTCCACCTCCACTATCTCCATCACCTCCTCCATATCATCCCTACCTCTATAACTCACCCCCACCTTCAGTCTATTAATCTTCTGGCTAAAGTCGTGTGAAATTTTTTAATAAATTATGTTATACGTTGTTGTTATTAATTTGTATTTAAACTTTTATTTGTTAATAAAACAATCTACATTGGATTAAGATCTAATTTTGGTTCTATTGTAATTGTTTATGTACGGTGATAATTCAGAAGTCTATATTATCTATTTCCTTTAGTTGTTTTTGTGTTTTACATATTGTTATTTACTTATAACTTCATATAACATCAACACACAAAATTATATATTGTTAAACTCTTGTTTGTCACCAAATACTATTTGATTATTTAATCTAGTGAAGTCTTGTTACCATTCATATGCATAAGACGAATATATACTGACTCGAAACAAATAAAAGTATACCAAAACAAATTAGTATACCTATAGTAGATTAACAATATCATTAGTGCAAATTTCACTCAATCAATCAAACCTACATATAATAATTGTATTGGTTGTACCAAATAATAAAACTATGAGTTTAGTATTGTCTCTGTTGAGATTAGATTCTTAAGAATTACACAATTTTGACTGAATGAAGGCTGAAAAAGTGGGTAACATATGAGTTTGAATTGATTAAAAGTAATAGACATCCTTCAAGCATATGCTGTTATATACAATGTATGTAATTAATTAAATGAGTGAACATAATTTAAATCATAAGAATAAAACACAAACAGTTTGATCTATCTTTTATAAAAAAAATTGAGTCAAGAAGTGAATGGAACTCAAGTAATTAGCCATCATCTACCTGCAATGAAGTGAATGGAACACAGATTTGGTTCCCTAGCAAGAACTTTGAGCATTGGAGAAACATGAATATGTATTAAATTGGCATATTATACTTGCAAAAAGTATGTAAAGAAATATTAGTATATCATTTCACCTAAACAGTAACGCATCATCATTGAATAATTGTAAAGATGATAAAAAAAACAAAAGAAAACCATTTACATTGAAAATCATAGGTAGAAAATTACTCCATTGAGCAACATCCATTTTCGCCGCAGCCTCGTAGTTTTTTGGCAGTAACATCTCTAAAACCAAACTATTGTCGGCCTTCAGAAGAGAGATTGAGCTGACGCGTTCATGCACCCCCACTTTGCATTTTGGAAAGCTAGGTACGTGTAATGGTTTATCCCTTTACAAATGTTGAATGCGGAAAAAGTATAGATAATAGATGAAATATCGCTTTGAATAGCAATTTTTAAAAAACATAAATCAAGTGAATACAATGTAAAATAAAAAAGTAAGGAACTATTAGAAAGATAGAAGATTAAGTATAAAACTTAATCATCACTCTCAATAGAGTACCAAAGGGGAGAGAGGAGTGATTCATCAATTTTCTTCCATGCCTTTGTTGCCAATTAATGCTCCCTTTTATAGAAGGATAAGAGAATATTTCTTGTTAACTTTATTCTCTTAATTGCTGGATCAAGTGACATGTGTCTCTTTTCTCTATCCATTTTAGTGATTCACTTTGATGGCATGGTTATTTCAATTTGGATCATAACATTACTACCCCTATTAAAAAATCAACCATGTCCTCAAGGTTGAAATCATAACAATGCATATAAGTGATAAAATCATCCTTTCAAGTGACTTCAATGTTAGATGGATATTCATAATGAATATAAAATAACAATCTGAATCCCATTTAAAAAATGTGGCATTAAACAATTTATAAAACTTTGGTGCAATTGGTTGTGGTTTAGTCCAAACAATTATTGCCCATGTTACAAATGTATTGAGTCTTTCGTTGTTTATGACATTGGGTTATAAGGTTTGAATTACAGCCACACATCTTGCATCTAATATATATCCTAAATTACAAATGTATGTGTCTTTGTAATTCAGTCCATTGATAGGTCTCTCATATAACTTTTCAAAGAAAATAGGGTGAAAGAGAAGACATTATGTGTTGCATGGGCATGAGTTAAGCAATTATCATTCCTATTGGCAGCCAAGGAACAAGGGAGATCCTTACTAAATAACTCATCATTAGAAACAAACATTACCATTTGAATTGTAGTGATGTCAAGTACAAGAAGTTTGTCTCTTAAACCCAAGACAATGACCTTCCTCCACCCTTTTCCTTCTTGGGAACTACTCACAATTCTTGAAATGTGATTTTACCAACAAAGAAGTTAATTTGCATCAGTTTTATGGAATTCTAAGGAGTAAATGAATGCATAACATTCCTCTCAAACCAAAGATGGAAAACAATTTTGTACAGGATGACGGTCATTGCACCCAAGTGTTCAATTGGATAGATTTTGTGTACTTTGAATAGAACGTGCTGTCATACCCCAAATTTGTCCGTCTTATTTTTAACAGTCAAACGATTTTCAAAATTGGTTTTTTTATAATTTTTTTTTTGGTTTATTTACAATAATATTTTGGGTTTTATATTTATTTTTAATTTATTTTTCCTATTTAAAAATACATAATAGTTTATTTTAAAATATTTGTATTTCTTAATTTAAAAGCTTTATTATCCAGAAATGAATAAAGTTAAAGTCAACAGAGACGTCATTGTAAAAGTATCAGAAGTATGGGATTGGAGCAAGTCTTAATCTATTTATGAAGATAAGCAAGAACTTGATAATTCTGAAGAAGAGTCAGAGTCATGTGATGATTTTGGAAACCTTGAAGATGAGTCAGATGGTGAATCTGATTCTGATCCAGACTTTGATGATGATCTAGAATCTGGTGGTGGTCATGCTTTTGGAAGGGAAAACTCTGAAGATATAGGTTCTGGAGGACAAGCTTCTGAATATGATCATGTTTCTGGTGAAGGTTGTGATTCTGAAGGAGGAACTTCAGAAGATAGAGGTTCTGAAGGCGATCCAACTTCTGAAGGTGGTCAAGTATCTGATACTCTTCTAGAATTAGAAAGAGTTTCTAAACGAGTTCATAGGCCATAAAGAATCATATAAATACCAAGGAGGTTTGCATATTTTGACATGTTGCAAGACACTGAAGTAGACTCAGAAGGAGAAATTGTTCAGTGTGCCATTTTAGTAGATTCTGAATCTGTGAGTATTGATGAAGCTCTCAAGAAGAAAGTATGGATGAATGCCATGAAATAATACTTGGAGGGACCACCCATAGTTGTGGCATTTGAGGCTTGTCTAGGACTTTGTCATGTATGAAGTAGGGCCGCCTTCTCTCCTTTGTAAGGCTCGTAGGACCAAGCTCAATTGAGTCTCTAATGTTAGACTTATCCTTCACCAATCTAGGATTCCTTTGCAGCTTTATTGAAGCATGCTTGGAATTTGTTCTTTGAACATCGAGAAATTTGCTAGCTTGATTGATAGCGACCAAGGGCGAAGGTGGAAATGCACGAAATGAAAATGTATGAATGTACAGAAATGCATGGGTATGCAAAAAATATTTTTTGGCTTTTGAGGGTATGCAAAAATATTTTTATGGAGATGCAATGCAGTGCAAGGTTTGAACGAAGATGGGCCTAAGGATACCCTACACGGGTTTTAGGGATATACATACACAATGTGAAACCCCTACAAGCTAGGGATTATGATTTACAAAAGATAACCCCTACACGCTAAGGATTATGATAAACCAATAGACAGTTGAGATGATGATTTGACTTGAGGAAATAGCATGGAAAATAGCACATGGTGACCGGTCAATAGTCCCAAATCCTATGGCCTGATATAGGCCACATGGCGTGCATCATCCAAGACGTCCTAAAGATAATGGCAGACAAAAAAAGGGAATCCCTACAGGATATGGATCATGACGCATAAAAAGGAATCCCTACAGGCTATGGGTTATGACATAGAAAGGGAAACTCTTATAGGCTAAAGATAGTAATGGATGAAAAGGTAACCCTTGCGGGTTTAGAGATTTTAGTGGGATTTTATGAAAGATATCCTTAGTTGGTGGGTTCCTAGTTTAGGCCTACATATATTCTACCCTCCCTATAAGGTGGTTTCCTTAAGGGTATCATGGATAACACTAGAGGGAAAGGCACAAGGGCCTCCCTTAAGTGGAGCCTCTTTGTAGACTGAAACTTTCGTCTCTAGGCCATGAAAGGTCTCACCATGAGATTTTTGTTTAAGGGTTATACAAAGAGTCATAGGTTTCATTCCAAATCCCTACCCCCAAGAGGATGTATCTTGAGACGTATTCCTTTTTCAGAATTTCACCGACTCTAGGCGAAGTCGTCACATAAATTCATCGGGATGATGTATCCCCTTGGCTAATAGACGAACCTTCTTTCTAAGGGTTTTTGAAAAATATTTTTTTTTAAATAAAAATCCCGTCATCAAATGAATATAATATGATAAAAATAAATAAATCAAAATAGTAAACGAAAGAAAATAAATAAATAAAAGCAAAAATTGAAATACTAAAGATCCAAAGAAAACCCTAAACCTAAGAGGAAGGCTTCTAAACCCTAGGGTTGGTCCCCAGCAAAGTCTCCAGCTTTAATAACTGGTTTTAAAATGAGAAGAATCGCCACCATTAATTTTTATCCTAAGACAGGAATTTAACGGGATAACCCTAATTGTTGATACAGAGATTCAAAGCTCTTGACTCACTTTAGACGAAGGGGAGGTGTTAGACACTCTTCATCTACCTTGTTCACAAGGATACTAGGGTTTAGGTTTAAGGTTTAAGAATGGGGTTTTAATTAGGCGAAATCACCATGATTTTTAAGTCGTATGCCTATTGATAAGTGCAAATTGTAGCTATTTTTGTATATACTTTTTGTTGCACTTATCGACTTTTTGTTGTTAATATCATTGAATAAACCCGACTTTTGTATAAATACACTTAGTTTGTGTTTATTTGTGTTTTTGTGTAGATAGGATATTGTTTGATGTTTTTCCATTGATTTTTTAGCTATTGATGCGTATTTGGAGCATGTGCAATAAAGTGTTGAAGACACGACTTAAAACACGCGATTTTGAGCAACTCGTCAACGAATAAGGCTCAAAATCAATGAATAAAAAATCATCAA